GGGGGGGGGAACGACGTCCGCTGGCTCAACCAAATGCCCGGCGGAAGAGCTCCGTCTCGCAGGCCCTGCGGAACTGCAAGAGGTCCCGCAGGGTCCCGATCTCACACGGGAGCTCAGGGCCGAAAAAGCCCTGGCCCTGGTCAAGGCTAGCCGGATGTCCCTGGGGCCAGGAACCACTAACAGATGTTGATTGGTGGACCTCAGTGCCCTCCGGGAAGTGCCAGGATTAACGATAGATCTCTTTCTCCTGCAGGATCTGATGACGTTAGAGCACCAGTGGACCAATTTTTTTGCAAATTTCGACACAGAAGTCCCTTTCATTTTGGAGCTGTCGGAGTCCCAGGCAGGAGAAGTACGTGTGTGGGTAGACCGACACGGAAATGTCATTGTTTGCTTTCCCCTTCCCGGTTTCTGACTCTCCATACTTCTCCAGAAAACAACTGTGAGCTGAGTATCCCGCAAAAAAAATATACGAAGTGAAATGCATATATAGTCATATAATCCCTCACAGGAAAATACAGAAGCCAACGAGATTCATAATAGGAAAATACAGAGTCCAAAGTAAATATCCAACACTTTTCCTAGGTGATTTTCAGTGTTTCAGACTTCTGGTCCTTCCTCAGGAACAAAGAACAACCATTGGGAGTCTCATTCCATTTCCTTATACGAGAACACTATTTTGTTTCTTCAACACCTGTAAAGCACCTGTAAAGGCTGCTCCTATGTAACAGGACCAAAACATGCGGGATATTCAGCTCACAGTTGTTTTCTGATTTTTCTTGGCCATTTCCTACTTTGCGTTGTACTGTTGGTTGTTGCATCTCCATAAAAGGTAAAGGTCTCCCTTGTTCGAAAGCCAGTTGAGTCCGACTCTAGGGTTGCGGTGCTCATCTCGGTTTCAAAGCCGAAGAGCCAGCACTGTCCGAAGACGTTTCCGTGGTCATGTGGCCGGCATGACTAAACACCAAGGCGCACGGAACGCTGTTACCTTCCCACCGAAGTGGTCCCTATTTATCGACTTGCAATTTCTTGCTTTCGAACTGCTAGGTTGGCAGGAGCTGGAACTAGAGACGGGAGCTGACTCCGTCATGCAGCACACTCAGGACTCAAACTGCTGAACTACCGACTTTCCACAGCCTGCAGTTCAGCGTCTTAACCCCTTGAGCCACCGCAGCTCAAAAAAAAGTATCAAAAGTATCTCCATACTTCTCACCAAAATGCAAAGGGGGAGCTCTTGCACCTTTAATTCATTCCGATGGCCTTGTTCCAGATACGTCTGTTGCTTATTTATAGTCTCCAGTGCCAGGACTCTTTTTGTAGAAAATGCCCAGCAGGAACTCATTAGCATAATAGGCCACACCCAACAGCAGGAACTCATTAGCATATTAGGCCACACCCCTGACAGCACAGCTCATTAGCTCATTGGGCCGCACCCCCATATTACCAGAAGTGTGGTCATCCAGCCACACCCACCTTTTGCTTGTTATTCTATTTACCTTGTTTGTTGTCAAAACCCAGGGCCTTTTTGTAGTAAGAACTCCTTTGCATGTTAGGCCACACACCCCTAATGTAGCCAATCCTAATGAGTTCCTGTGGGGTGTGGCCTATTGTGCGAATGCGTTCCTGCTGGGCGTGGCCAACTCGGGAGGCAGCCAGAACTCCGTTCCTGTGTGTTCCGGCACAAAAATAGCCCTGGACTCTCCACTTACTTGACTTCTTCCCTGCCTTTCAGTCCTGGGGGGGGGGTAGGAGGGAGCACCGGGTTTCATACTCTCTGACTTAATTCTAGGACAGGGGTCCCCAACAAGGTGCACACCACGTATTTCTAGAAAGTGGGCAGGGCCAGGTGGGTCCAGAGTTGCCATTCCCCAGTTGGGGGCGGGGGACCCCTTGGTTTTGTGGCTCCCCCCCCCCCAACCAGCGACATTGCCAGCGGAATGTGCCTACATCACCCGGATGTGATGTAGGCACATCGGTGATGTTGGGCCTGGGGGGGGGCACTCTGGTTTTCGGGCAGAGCTCTGTAGCCCGAGGCCGATTTGAAATCAAGAACCACAAGAGTAAGAAAGAAGCCGGAATACCCGGTTTTGTTTGCCAGTTTCAAGAGCCTGCGCTTTGACTCCGGCCTCTGCAAGAAGCTCCTCCGGTGTTTCCAAATCTACCCGTGCTTGATTTAGGGTTGCCAAATTTGGATCGTCCGGGAGCGGGAGGCTCCCGGACGATCCCGGGTGCGCGCGCGCGCACGGCACCCGGAAGTGACGTCGCACGCTGGGGGCGGGGCCATGCGATTTGAGGGGAAAACAAAGAGTTTTCCCCTCAAATCGCGTGGCCCCGCCCCCAGCGTGCGACGTCACTTCCGGGTGACGCGCACCCGGGGGTTGGGTTTCCCCCGGGCCCCGATTCCGGCGCGCCGGGAATCGGGGCTCCGAAACGGGGGATTCCCCGCCCCCCGGCTGCATTTGGCAGCCCTAACTTGATTGTTGAAAGAGTACGGCAGGCAGACGCTCTCTTTGCCTTCAGGAAAAGCGTTCAGCCGGTTGGGATCGAGCTCTGCTTGCCTTTTGACTTTGCAAAAAGGGAAAAAGGGAAACCTCACAAACTGGCTTGAGACCAGCCGGTTGAGAAGCTAGAATAAAATCACATTTTGACGGAAAGCAAAAGCCACCTTTGCTCCCTTGGAGCCGCCAGAAAACAGTAGCAGTGGGATTGCTTTTTTGACCTTGGCATTACTGTAGTCTTTAACAGTCAATTTCTCTCTTTTTTTCCCCCTATAGCCATTCCGAAGTTATTTCAGCCATGGAATGCTTTCGAGCCACATCACGGATAACAGGTACCATTCTCTGTGTTCCTGAGGGCATCAGATACCACTGGCGTGCAGCGTTCCCTCTAAGCTGAGTCAGTGTGAGCCAGCTCACAGTTCTTTAGCCTCCGGCTCGCACATTTTTGTCTCCGCTCAGGAAGGAGGGCTCCAGAGCAAACTGATGTATGCAGGAGCCAAACGGCTCGCTCACCACTTCAATGCTGGTCGCTCACACAGTAGGATTTTTGTGTGCAAGACTCCGCCGCTTAGGGGGGAGCATTGCAGTGGCGTGTGGGGCCATAGCATCAGCAGCACTGCCAGGCGTGAGCGGCCCCAACTGCCATGTGACGCCACTCTCTTTTGCTGTGGAGCTTCTCTTTATCAGACAGCAATTCAAGGGGCGGGGGGCGCTACCAGTCTTTCCACCTCTGCTTATCCTCCAAACCCTGCCCTGGACCTCTAAGTCATCTTTTTAGTGGTGGGGGTGGAAAGCGCCGTCAAGTCGCACCCGATTTATGGCGACCCCCGTAGGGTGTTCACGGCAAGAGACGGGCAGAGGTGGTCTGCCCTTGCCTGCCTCTGCACAGCGACCCCGGGCTTCCTTGGTGGTCTCCCATCCAAGTACTAACCAGGGGCGACCCTGCTTAGCTTCCGAGATCTGATGAGATCGGGCTAGCCTGGGCCATCCAGGTCAGGACTAGAGACGAACAGAAGTGGTTTGCCCTTGCCTGCCTCTGCATAGCAACCCTGGGCTTCCTTGGTAGTCTCCTATCCAGGAATAAACCAGGTCCAGCCCTGCTTAGCTTCTGAGATCTGATGAGACTGGGCGAGCCTGGGCCATCCTGGTCAGGACAAGAGACAAACAGAGGTGGTTTGCCATTGCCTGCCTCTGCATAGCAACCCTGGACTTCCTTGGTGGTCTCCCATCCAAGTACTAACCAGGGCTGACCCTGCTTAGCTTCTGAGATCTGGCGAGATAGAGCTAGCCGGGGCCACCCAGGTCATCTTTTTAAGTAGGCGAGGCCCTAAAGAACCGCACATTTTTTTAAAAAGTTATTCTTGATACCTGAGGAAGTGAGCTGTGACTCACGAAAGCTCTTCCCCTGCCACAAATTTCGTTAGTCTGTGAGGTGTTCCTGGACTCCTGCTCTTTTCTACTACAATAGTCAACATTTCAGGCCAGAAGCTTTGTTTATTTATTTATTTTATTCGATTTATACCCCGCCCTTCCTATCAAAGCGGGTTCAGGGGGCTTCCGGTCTGGCTCCCGCGCATGGCGGACGCTTCCTCGGGTCGCTCCCGAGGGCGCCTCGCCCGCCCGCGGTGGAGGAGGGAATCCGCGCGAGCGGAGACCCGAACGAGCCCCTCAGAAGAGAGGAGCTCGGATCCGGGGCGCTTTAGGGCGCACTAGGGGGGAGTCGCTCTTTCGGCCGAGAGGTCGGAGAGCGAGGCTCCCGCCATGCCCTGCCCCAATGGACCTTGCTGCGTGAGCGACCCCGAACGGGGTTTAGCGGAGCCACCAGACGTCACCGAGTGATAAAGCGACCATCCGCAAAAGTGGAAAAGAAAAAGAAAAGATCGGCTTAACTGTGAGTTGTCAAAATGCAGAAAAAAGAACTGAAAATTGTTTCCCCCCCCTCCCAGCGAAAAAGGCGAAGAGGTTAATCCTCCATCTATACAAGCGAAAAAGAAAAGGGGGGGGGATGAATTGAGCGGACAGTGATGTTTTCCTTTGATGTATTTGAAAGCGAGAAGCTTGTCTCTCTGGAGCACATTTTAAGAACTTTCTAAAAGTAAACAAAAAAGAAAAGATGTCGGAGCTGGGCAAAAGCGAGCGGAGAAGGAGGGAGGGACTTCCGTCTGGGCGTTTGTTTGTGTGCAAGAGCCGGCTGTTGAATGTTTGGACTGTTTATGGCTGTGAATCCGACGGGAGTTTTGCAAAAAAGATAAGTTGGAATTGTGACAGCGAGAAGTGCCTGTAAGCGCTTATAAGTCAACAATTGCGAGGAGGACCCATAGAGAGTCTGGGAGCGAATATAAAAGCGAAAATGAAATTGATACCATTCTCGAAAATGGGGACCTCCGGGGCATGAAAGGAAGAGGATTTATAGTACATGAACTGAGCGTATTAACAACAACCCGAAGGAGGATCTAACAAGCCGGAAGGAGAAGACAACGGAGATAACAGAGGAAGCTCCTCCACGTCAGCGACAGTAAAAGTACCCAGCACGCAAGAAGCGGTTCTGGATGTGCACAGAAGAGACCCTCTTTATTAACAGAATCTCAAAGGAACATTACTAACATACTAACAGAGAATACATGTAACAGGACTAAGAAAAGAAGTTTGGCAACACACAGAAGAAGCCCAAGAAGATTAATTGGACATTACTAACAGTTTAATTTACCAGTTTATATATCACTCAGCTTTCTCTTTCTCCCATTGTCTACCCCTCCCTTTTTTTCTTTTAAGCGAAATACCTCCCCTTTTTAGGGGAGCCAATAAAACCTTTAAAAAAAAAAAAAAGCGGGTTCAGGGCGGCATACTCATTGCCACTTAAAGTGAAAATATTTTTTAAAGTATTTTCTTGCATACACGTGGCCTACTCCAGTCACGAGGTGAAGATCCTTTCGCCGTGATGGCAGCCTCTGCCAAGAAAATCTGCGCAGCCAATCAGAAACCCTACCGGCCAAAAGCACCACCTCCTTCCTAAAAACAATTGGCAACATTGCTCCCTCTAAGCTGTGGAGCCCTGTGAGCAAAAATGCTATTTTGTGAGCGACCGACATTAAAATTGTGTAACTCTATTTTTGTTTTTATTAAATTTTTTAAAATTTACAACTCAACAACCATACAGTATAACTCAATAACTTAACTTTAAACAAATAACTAGTAATTAATTATAAACATATAAAACAATATAAAACTGGAACATCGATCATAATATATCAATTCTTGTAGGTATTTATAGCATAACTAATACAATCTTATTGTGTCTAACAGGAAGAACATTAAATTGACTCCCTTCAGTTTCTATATATTGAAAAAAGGAAAACCATTTTTCCAAAAAAATTGAATTCTTTTTAAAACAACGATCCACAATTAAAAGTTGCATAGCAATTTTATCATTAACTACTACATCCCTACTACTACTACAACCTAGCAGTTCGAAAGCAAGAAATTGCAAGTAGATAAATAGGTACCACTTCAGTGGGAAGGTAACAGCGTTCTGTGCGCCTTGGTGTTTAATCATGCCGGCCACATGACCACGGAAACGTCTTCGGACAGCGCTGGCTCTTCGGCTTGGAAACGGAGATGAGCACCGCAACCCTAGAGTCGGATTCGACTGGTTTTCGAGCAAGGGAACCTTTACCTTTTACTGCATCACAAATTTTATTAAACCAATGTCTTAATGTTGGGATTTTAACAGATTTCCAAAGTTGGGCAAGTGAGGTTTTTGGCTGCAAGTAATAAAAGAGCCACTATTTCTGTTTTCTGTTTAGTCATAGATGTATCACTCCAATAATTTAATAAAACAGACTCTGGAGAGTTTGGAATCCTTATACCAGTTATTTTTTCTGTTATTGGCAATACCATTTCCCAACATTAAAGTTGTGGGCGAGCAATTTGGCTCCTGCGAAAATTAGTTTGCTCTGGAGCCCTCCTTCCCGAGCTAAGACGAAAATGCGTGAGCTGGAAACTAAAAAACTGTGAGCTACCTCACACTCAGCTTAGAGGGGACACTGGAACTTGGCAGGCCGCCAGGAAAGGCGACCCCGGGCACCACATTGCGGGGCCCTGCTGTTGACCAACGTTCTCTCTAAGCTGTGGAGTCTTGTGAGCAAGAATTCTACTTGGTGAGCTGCTGGCATTAAAGTTGTGAGCGAGCAGTTTGGCTGCTGCCTAAATTAGTTTGCTCTGGAGTCCCAACCTTCCTGAGCTAAGACCAAAATCTATGAGCTTGAGGCTAAAAAAACTGCGATCTAGCTCACATTCACTCAGCTCAGAGGGAACACTGCTGTCGACTGTCAAGATTTTGTTTCTGTTAGGGTTCCACCATAGCGCTATTCCATTGAGCACCTTCAAGAAGCGGTCCGTGCCGTCTTCCTGTCGATGCCTCCCATGTCCCGAAGGGTTCGTTGAGCTGGCGGTAACTTGTTCTTACGGTCAGTCCCAGCAGGCAGCCGTTTGTGCTCTTCGGCACCCACTCGTCAAAGGAGAACCTGAACGCCGGCAACTTTAGCTTCCCGTCAGAGGGACATCTCGTGCGCAACACGGGCCTCGGTGGGAGTACGGCCAAGCACATGGTGAGTGTCGCCTGGCGAGACTGTGTGGAACAGTTTTAAAAACAGCAGCGCAAGAATGCTGCCCATCAGCAATGATCACATCCCAAAGGCTTCCTGCATGCAAGTGTCCCATGAGGGCACACATGTGCTGGGAGCACTACAGATGGAGCATCTCCCCCCCCCCAGTAATCCTTAGCTGAAGTGGACCCTGCGAGCACACAGTTGTGTGCTTAAGAGAGCAGCTGCTGGTGTGACTTTGGCTCCGTCACAAGTTCTCTCAGAGCTGTTCTCTCAAGGGCAGTTCTCAAGAGAGCTCTCTCAGCCTCACCGACCTCACAGGGTGTCCGTTGTGGGGAGGGGAAGGGAAAGGAGATAATTAACTGCTCTGAGACTCCGAGTGAAGGGCAGATTGTAAATCCAATCATTCCTCCTCCTCCTTCTCTATGAACACGCATGAGCTGCCCTATCCTGAATCCAAACCACCGGTCCATCAAACTCAGTACTGACTACTCAGACTGGCAGCAGCTCTCCAGGGTCTCAGGCAGAGAGGTCTTTCACATCCCCTACTACCTGGTCCTTTTAACTGGCGATGCCGGGAACTGAACCTGGGACCTTCTGTATGCCAAGCAGATGCTCTTCCACTGAGCCACAGTCCCCTCTTTACAGCTCTCCAGGGTCTCAGGCAAAGGTCTTTCACATCACCTTCTGCCTGGTCCTTTTTAACTGGAGATGCCGGGGATTGATCTGGGGACCTTCTGCATGCCAAGCAGAGGCTCTCCCACTGAGCCACAGCCCCTCTTTACAGCTCTCCAGGGTCTCAGGCGGAGGTCTTTCCCATCACCTACTTCCTGGTCCTTTTTAACTGGAGATGCCGAGGACTGAACCTGGGACCTTCTGCATGCCAAGCAGAGGCTCTGCCACTGAGCCACGGCCCCTCTTTACAGCTCTCCAGGTCTCAGGCAGAGGTCTTTCACGTCACCTCCTGCCTGGTCCTTTTAACCAGAGATGCCGGGGACTGAACCTGGGACCTTCTGGATACAAAGCAGAGGCTCTTCCGCTGAGCCACGAGGGGACCAAGCTGTGAGTTGTGGCTCAGCGCCTGAGCATCTGCTTGGCTTGCAGAACGTTGCAGGTTCAACCTCCATCATCTCCAGTTAAAGCAGGACTGGGCAGCAGCTGGTGTGAAAGACCTCTGCCTCATTTTCAAAAGGCAGCGGCGTCAGTCTGCAGTAGGAGTGCTGGATTCGAGTCCAGTAGCGCACTCCTCTGATGAAGGGAGCTTTGACTCTCGAAATCTTGTGTCTCAAAAATCTTGGTGGTGTCTAAAGGGCTACCGGGCTTGAATCGACCTCTGCCTTAGAGACCCCGGAGAGCCGCTGACAGGCTGAGTTGACAGTGCTGACCTTGATGGACCAAGGGGTCTGATTCCGTAGAAGGCAGCTCCATAACTGTGTCTGTTGTCCCTTTCTGATGCGCCGAGGGAAATGCCGATCGCCACTTTGGGGTCAGGAAGCCATTTTTCTCCAGGCCAGTTTGGCCTAAGGATCCTGGAGGGTTTTTTCCCATCTTCTGGGCATGGAACAGCAGTCACTGGGGGTGTGGAGGGGGAGATATTTGTGAATTTCCTGCCTTGTGCAGGGGGTTGGACTAGATGACCCTGGCCAGTTTGGTGTCGTGGTTAAGTGCGCGGACTCTAATCTGGGAGAACCGGGTTTGATTCCCCACTCCTCCACTTGCACCTGGCTGGGTGACCTTGGGCGAGCCGTAGTTCTGATAAGAGCTGTCCTTGAAAAAGAGCAGTTTCTCTCAGAGCTCTCTCAGCCCCCCACCTACCTCGCAGGGTGTCTGTTGTGGGGAGGGGAAGGGAGAGGAGTTTGTAAGCCGCTCTGAGACGCCTTTGGGTAGTGATGGGCGTGGTAGAAATCCAATCTCTTCTTCTTCTTCCAACTTGGTGGTTCTATGATAGTCTCAGGGTATGCAGCCGAAATGGGCATTTTCCAGAGCTCTGGGATGGGACGGCCCCCGTCCCCAAATATTGTCACCATACAAAGTACAGAATAGTTACAAGAATGGGCACAGTAATAAGACCAATGGAAAAAAAAAAAAGAACTGACAATTTAGCGCTTGGTACTATATTCATAAATCATGATATACAATAACAGAAAATAAGTAATATATATAGTGAATGTAGACGGTGGTCTCCGGAATGGTGTGCCGTTTCGACAATGATCTTCTTCTGAACAAGGATGTGTACCTTCTCAAATACAACAATACAAGTCTCATTTAAAATTATATATAACAGTGTGCAAATATATCATATGAATAAGAATAAAAATAGTATGAAACCTTACATAAACTGTCTTTCAACAATTCATTTCTCTTGGTGACGTATTGAAAATATACTGTTGATTCTAAAAAGTACAACAATAGCTGTTATAATACATTTTCATTGTTATTTAATAACAATTACATCGCTCCACATACATAACTGTTAATATTTTAAATAATTGTAAAAACACTCACCACTTCATCATAAAGCTATGCTTACAGCTATGTTCTTCAATGGGCTATAATTGCTGAATGCCTTAGCAGGTGGATTCTATGTAGGCATTATATCCTGCTGGTCTGTTTTTTCACACTGATCCTGTTACTACTCATACACAAGTACACAAATCACCAACTTCTATGGCAATTATCCATACTCCTTACTAGAACCCATCTCTCAATATTTCAACATGTTTTCAATACGTCACCAAGAGACCACCGTCTACATTCACAATATATATTACTTATTTTCTGTTATTGTATATTATGATTTATGAATATAGCACCAAGCGCTAAATTGTCACAGTTCTTTTTTCTTTTTTCATTGACCATACAAAGCACAGCAAGATCCCCGGCAGCATGAGAAAATATTCAGGTTTGCAACACTCTGCCTCTCCCAAGGTGAAAGGTCCAGTTGGCACCGCATGGGTCCCTGTAGCCTAATGACCAGCAAGCGGTGCTCACACAGGTCTCGCACACAGGTGATTTCCAGCCACTCTGCCTTCACTCCTCTAACTGTCGTCCGCTTCCCTGTTCTGTTGTGTTTGCCGCTTCCAGGTCGTGCAGTGCGTCTCTCCAAAGGGGCCTCTGGCTTGTTCAAGGACCTATTTCTTTGGAACTACTCACACCCCTTACCTTGGTAAGTGCCGGATCGATCGCGTATGCGTGTGTTTGGGCTTCTGGACCGTCTCGTTCCTAAGCCTCGAGGGTTGGGGCAGCGGTGCAGAAAACCAGACTAGGCGGTGCACCGTAACAAACAAAAACACAGGAGAAGCCGTAACGCTGGGGAAAGGAAGGGGCGGATGAGATAAATAAAGCGATGGCAATGCTATAAAATGTCTACTTAGTACAGATAATACAGTACTGCAAAAATCAGAAAATATATGCTGTTTAAATAAGTTAAAGCGATATGCTTTTTTTTACAAGGTTGGAATGCAAAAATACAGTCAGTTTCAAATAAACGGAAGTGGTTTTTAACAAAGCAAATGATGTTAACGACGTGCTCCGGAATGTCCTGTGTCGTTTCGACATTCCTTCTTCTGAACAAGACTCTATAGATTATTTATTTATTTATTTTATTGTATTTGTACCCCGCACTCCCCACGAATGGGCTCAGGGAGGCTCACATAGGGCACTAAGTGCATACGATATACAAAATTACATAATACAAAAATACAGATTTTAAAACAGATTAAAATCAATTCAACGGATGCACATATAAACTCCATTCCATTTGACTGTAACTCGCCCGAAATGAATTTTCTACTAGCCATTGTGCTTTGTTATTGACCTATGAAGGAAAAATATGTGAGCATCAGGCTTCATTTCTACTCTTACAGATGAGACAAAAAACTGGAAATTACCGATAGAATCTTGTTCAGAAGAAGGAACGTTGAAATGACACAGGACATTCTGGAGCACGTCGTTAACATCATTTGCTTCGTTAAAAACCACTTCTGTTTATTTGAAACGGACGGTATTTTTGTATTCCAACCTTGTAAAAAAAAGCATATCACTTTTAACAGCATATATTTTCTGATTTTTGCAGTACTGTATTATTTAGTTTTGGAGCTGCGGTGGCTCAAGTTGTTAAGACGCTGAACTGCAGGCTGTGGAAGGTCGGTAGTTCAGGAGTTCGAGACCCGGGTGCCGCATGACGGAGGGAGCTCCCGTCTCAGGTTCCAGCTCCTGCCAGCGTAGCAGTTCGAAAGCAAGAAATTGCAAGTCGATAAATAGGGACCACTTCGGTGGAAAGGTAACAGCGTTCCGTGCACCTTGGTGTTTAGTCATGCCGGCCACATGACCACGGAAATGTCTTCGGACAGCGCTGGCTCTTCGGCTTGGAAACGGAGATGAGCACCGCAACCCTAGAGTCGGATTCGACTGGCTTTCGAGCAAGGGAAACCTTTACCTTTACCTATTATTTAATTTAGCACACTTATCACAGTAACAATCCCTGTGTAGTGTAATATTCATATACTGTGTACCATACTCTTGTTTGCTTAACTCTACTTAGTACAGATGCCAGAACAAATGGTGGCAAAACCCCCTCTTGGATTCTCTTTCGCGCCACAATTGTTAACAGAAGTGTTTCCAATGCAAATGATTTGGCTCGTAGCCTATAACATGCCAGTGAAAAGGACATGGATTTTTTCCCATGTGCTTCTTACCTGCTCTTAAACCCCGGAATAATGACTCCTAGCTTTGTGAGTCTCATGAATGCAAGACAGTCTTTGCAGGGCTTGAAAGGGACGGTCGGGAGAGGTGGGGAAATATGAGTACAGTTTGTATGGTGGAAGCTCTTCCCCATCACCACCATGCGATTAACATTAAATGAAAGCTCACTGCTGGGTTATCCTGTCTCCTTAAAAACATCAGAGAAGCCAATGTTGGATCAGGCCAATGGCCCAACCAGTCCACACTCTGTCACACAGTGGCCAAAAATACCAGGTGCCATCAGGAGGTCCAGCAGCGGGGCCAGGACACCAGAAGCCCCCCCACTGTTGCCCCCCCCCAAGCACCAAGAATACAATGCATCACTGGCCCCAGACTGAGACAAGAATAGAAACAGCCCCGGCTGACTCTCAGCTAGAAGCCCTCCCTCCTTCACTCCTTCCTGCTGTCCAGGGTGCACGCTCCTTCCCCAGTAGCTGACTCTTGAAACTTTGGGCGAAACTCACCTGCCAGACGACAAAACTCAGCTGCCACATGGATAATACAATAAGTCCTACAGAGGAACTGGTTGACCACTGTATGGGATACTGGACTCAATGGACCAGTGGTCTGATCCAACAGGGCTCTTCTGATGTTCTTATCAGGGGAAGGCCTCGGCCTCTCCGCCCTGTTGTTGGACCTCCAGAGGAACTGATTGGCCTCTGTGTGAGATGGGATACTGGACTCAATGGACCAGTGGTCTGATCCAACAGGGCTCTTCTGATGTTCTTATCAGGGGAAGGCCTCGGCCTCTCCGCCCTGTTGTTGGCCCTCCAGAGGAACTGGTTGGCCACTGTGTGGGACGGGATGCTGGACTCGATGGACTACTGGTTCTATCCAGCAGGGCTCTTCTTATGTTCTATATATGTGCAATATGATGGAATAAAGAAATAACCACAGTGCCTCACTTTCCTATAGGCAAAGATAATGAAATGGAGAAGAAAGCTGACCAAGTGTAAGTTTACCATGACTTGTTTTCTTTGACTTTTCAATCCGAAAGGTTGGGTCCACATTTAAATCTGGCCACTCCTCACTTAAGGGGTCGCAGTGGCTCAGTGGTTAAGAAACTAAGCTGTACACCGGAAGGTCTGTAGTTCAGCAGTTCGAGACCCTCGTGCCCCGTGACGGAGTGAGCTCCCGTCTCTGGCCCCAGCTCCTGCCAACCTAGCCGTTCAAAAGCAAGAAATTGCAAGTAGATAAATAGGTACCGCTTCAGTGGGAAGGTAACAGCATTCAGTGCGCCTTGGCGTTTAGTCATGCCAGCCACATGACCACGGAAAAAGTTTTCGGACAGCGCTGGCTCTCCGGCTTGGGAACGGAGACAAATACTGCCCCTTAGAGTCGGATTCAACTGGCTTTCAAGCAAGGGAAACCTTTACCTTTACTTACTCCTCACTTAGCTGTGCCACACCACACGTCTCGGACCTGGTGTGTTCAGCTGTCCCATCCGTTTCCGAACTTTGCCTGGGTTCCAAACCATCACCCGTGAGTTCTGTCTTTGGCACCTGGTGGACCTAGCTCACTTGCTTGTCCCTGCCTTTAAAACCTTGAGCTGCTGCTCTAAGTTAAGACATCTTTCTTAGCAAAAAATGTATGTCAAGGGTCCTAATTAGCACGGTTTGCTTTGTTTTCCAGGAAACTGCTGTCCCAAATTTACGCGGCTGTTGTGGAGGCAGTCCTGGCGGCCATAGATTCCTACTCTAAAACTTCCAGCGCCACCAAGGTAACTACAAATTTGACCTGCGCTAACAGGGAATTGTACTCTTTGGTTCTCAAAAGAGGCTGTGGCTTGGCATGCAGGAGGTCCCAGGTTCAATCCCCGGCATCTCCAGTTAAAAAAGGACCAGGCAGGAGGTGATGGGAAAGACCTCCGCCTGAGACCCCGGAGAGCTGTAAAGAGGGGCTGTGGCTCAGTGGCAGCCGGCCGCCTGCCCTGGAAGCCTGGCTCGGAATGAGGAATGGTCCCCTCAGAGACGCTTCAGCAATTTCAGACGCTTCTGCTGCACAAGCTCTTACGTGTCCCCTCCTGGCATCAGCAATGACACCTCTAGCAACACAAGGGGGGCCCTCAAACACACAAAGCTGCCTTCTACTGAATCAGACGCTTGGTCCACCAAGGTCAGTAGTGTCTACTCAGACTGGCAGCGGCTCCCCAGGGTCTCAGGCGGAGGTCTCGAGGGCCGTGGCTCAGTGGGAGAGCATCTGCTTGGCACACAGAAAGCCCCAGATTCAATCCACGGTATCTCCAGTTAAAAAAGGGCTAGGCAGGAGGTGATGGGAAAGACCTCCGCCTGAGACCCTGGAGAGCTGTAAAGAGGGGCCGTGGCTCAGTGGAAGAGCATCTGCTTGGCACACAGAAGGTCCCAGGTTCAATCCCCAGCATCTCCAGTTTAAAAAGACTGTTAGAAGGATATAGACCGAGAGAGTCTGGAGCCAGACTGCCGTGTGAATTCTTATTGACCTTTGTGTTTTTTCTATGAAGGAATAAGTGGTTGTTTTTTGTTACCAGACGCGAGTGATGTTACGGCTCTGATCTAGTCTCTGTTGTTATTGTATTCTTCTGTGGGCATCTAGCACACATCTGTATATCTTTTCCATAACAGACCATCAAGGGCTCAGGCCTGTTAAGTCACCATCTATTAATTTTTTAATTTTATTTATTTATAAATTCAATTTATAGCCCGCCCTCCCTGCAACGCGGGCTCAGGGCGGCTCACAAACAAGAATAAGCCAGCGCATAAAACACATTTTAAAACCATTTTAAAACAATTTCTACAATATTACGACATTATTTTCATTCTTATTATTATTATTATTATTAATGATGATGATGATGATAATAATAATAATAATAATAAGTGCGCTAGATGTTCCGAATAGATCTTCCATAAAGATGACGTATAATGGTGTTATATCCACTCAGTGCCATCTGTTCCGCTTGGCGCTGTCGTCCTTTCTTCCAGGGCCAGATGATGGTAGTACAGTAGTGGCGGCTCCTACTCAAACGCCTGGCGGAAGAGCTCCATCTTGCAGGCTCTGCGGAAGTGTGCAAGGTCCCGCAGGGCCCGGATCTCCTCCGGGAGCTCGTTCCACTAGGTAGGAGCCGCCACCAAGAAGGCTCTGGCCCTGGTAGCAGCCAGCCTGGCCTCCTTGGGACCCGGCATCGCCAGGAGATGTTGCGTCCCCGACCGTAGTGCCTGTGGGGGAACATTGGGCCCATAAACTCGCTGGAAGCCCGTGTAATTCACCAATCTCGTCCCCCATTGATAATGATGTTGACATCGAGGTCCTTGAAGCAATGTAAGGCCGCTCCCACAAGCGTGGGATCGTCTTCGAGACCTCCTTTGAATTCACGGCTCCGAGAATTGTTAATCTCTTTTTCCTAGCTATGAAGTGAGAGAGACGCTGACTGAGTTTCTTCTTCTCTCCCCCCCTGCCCCCCCCCATTTCTTTGCAGGCAAAGGACGTGGCAGAGCAGACCTTCTCCAACATGCTCGACGTCTTTGAACTCGCCTACTTCAAAGCTCCGCTACGGTACGTCTCTTTAGGGAAGCCCTTTCTTCTCGGTTTGGCATTATGGGGTCAAACGTCGCTTATGTGTCTGCTCATTTTTTTTAAATAAGATGGGCGAACGGCTTCCATATCTGTCGAACGCACATGTTGTGTCAATGAGTAATGCATACGCGGGTCCCTACCCTCGGCATTATCCAGGCAGAACTCTAGAGCTGTTTGTGGAGATCTCCAGTTGAACAATCTTGGCAATCTTGGGGGGCGGGGGGGGGGTTGCATGGTTCTGTGGTTCTAAATATGTGCGTGACACACCCTCCCAGGCTGCAAAAAATAGGGGGGAAATGCTACGACTCCTCTCACCTGTACTTGTCCACACCAAAGCTCCCAGAGCTGCTTTTCTCATTGCATGTGTTGGAAGTGTGTGGTTTGTCCCCCAGCCTAACATTTGAGACAATATCCTTCCTACTTTCCAGTTTGGTGTAGTGGTTAGGAGCGCAGACTCTAATCTGTGAGATTTGGGTTTGATACCCCACTCCTCCACATGCAGCTGTTGGTGTGACCGTGGGTCAGTCATAAGTTCTCTCAGAGCTGGTCTCTCAAGGGCAGTCCTCGAAAGAGTTCTCTCAGCCCCACGTACCTCCCAGGGTGTCTGTTGTGGGGAGGGGAAGGGAAAGGAGACTCTTTCAAGTAGTGAATTGAGTATAAATCCAGTCTCTCCTCCCTCCCTTCCTAACTTCCTTCCTTCCAGTTTGGTGTAGTGGTTAGGAGTGCGGACTGTAATCTGGGAGAACCGGGTTTGATTCCCCTCTCCTCCACGTGCAGCTGCTGGTGTGACCTTGGGTCAGTCACAAGTTCTTTCAGAGCTGTTCTCTCAAGGGCATTTCTCAGGAGAGCTCTCTCAGCCCCACCTACCTCACAGGGTGTCTGTTGTGGGGAGGGGAAGGGAAAGGAGGCTCCTTTGAATAGTGAAGGACAGAGTGTAAATCCAATCTCCACTTCCTCTCTCCGTCCCTCCCTCCCTTCCTTCCTTCCTGTTTGGTGTAGTGGTTAGGAGCGCGGACTGTAATCTGGGAGAACCGGGTTTGATTCCCCAGTCCTCCACAAGCAGCTGCTGGTGTGACCTTGGGTCAGTCACAAGTTCTCTCAGAGCTGTTCTCTCAAGGGAGCTCTCGCAGCCCCACCTACCTCACAGGGTGTCTGTTGTGGGGAGTGGAAAGGAAAGGAGACTCCTTTGAATAGTCAAGGGCTCTGTAAATCCAATCCTTCCTTCCTTCCTTCCTTCCTTCCTTCCTCCCTCCCTTCTTCCTTCCTTCCTTCCTTCCTTCCTTCCTTCCTTCCTTCCTTCCTTCCTTCCTTCCTTCCTTCCGGCTGGGGTCCCCAAACCTTTTTGAGGCTGTGGGCACTTTTGGAAGCTTGAGAGGGCGTGGTAAGAGCCACCCCCAGATGGCTGCCCCAGGAGGCAGAGCCAGACACAGGACTTCTCCTCCCACTGCAAAAGGATCGTTGGAGGGGAATAAAAAGACATGAGGAAAGCCTCGGGGAAAGGAAAGGGAGAAAGAGGAGGGAGGGAATGGAACTCCGCAGGCTTGGGTGCTTACTCGTCCTCCAGATCCTGCCTTACGAGGCTCTGCCCAGTTTCTGAAAAACTCGATGTGTACCCAGGGACGAAATGGCAGATGACATGGCGCCCACGGGCACCGTGTTGGGGGACCCTGATTCGAGGCACTTGTCTCTGCAACTTGCACATGAGGCGATTAAAAGAAAATGCACAGTATACTGACATTTTCTGACCGTAAGCCATATATGGGGTTACTCCCAAGGACTGTTCAGAAACTTCAGTTGCACCCAGCGTGGCCCCTGGGATTTTGACAGGTCTTGCCCTGTCACGTTGGCTGTGACTTAGTGGCACTCTCCACCATCCCCGCGGCCCCTTTGATAAGCGTGTAAACCAGGGGTGGTCAAACTTGCTTAACATAAGAGCCACATAGAATAAACATCAGATGCTTGACAGCCGCAAGACATGAACAAATATTACACACGCTCCTGATATTTGGGAGTGGTTAAAGAAGTTACTTTTTATGGTTGAAATGGACAAAATGACAAGAAAACTCAAAAATCAAGAAGCAGAAGACTTTTTTTGCAGATTGGCTTTAAAGCTTATATGGAGAAATGTTGGGATGTTAAAAACAATTTATTTTGCTTAGACAATTATTAAGACTGAGAACTATCTAGATTAAGTTTAAACGTATATATAGATCTATAGATAAAGAGATATGGTACCTGTAATAAATATATAATATTAAAGAATTGGAAAGGGGTTGACCTAAGGGGGAATGAGAAGTTTGAACAGTGTGGGAAGTCAGAAGGGGGTGGGTATATGGAAGAAAAAAGGATATGAGATTACTTGTTACATGAATTATAAATTTACCTATTGTGATATCCTAATAAAGAGTTTTTTTAAAAAACAAACAAATATTACACACACGTGGTTAAGTGCACGGACTCTAATCTGGGAGAACCGGGTTTGATTCCCCACTCCTCCACTTGCACCTTCTGGATGACCTTGGGCAAGCCATAGTTCTGACAAGAGCTGTTCTTGAAAAAGAGCCGCTTCTGTCAAGAGTTCTCTCAGCCCCACCCACCTCACAGGGTGTCTGTTGTGGGGAGGGGAAGGGAAAGGAGTTTGTGAGCCTCTCTGAGACTCCTTTGGGTAGTGAAGGGCGGGGCATAAATCCAATCTCCTCTTCTTCTTCTTTTACCTCACAGGGTGTCTGTTGTGGGGAGGGGAAGGGAAAGGAGTCTGTAAGCCGCTCTGAGACTCCTTTGGGTAGTGAAGGGCAGGGTATAAATCCAATCTCCTCTTCTTCTTCTTTTACCTCCCAGGGTGTCTGCTGTGGGGAGGGGAAGGGAAAGGAGTCTGTAAGCCGCTCTGAGACTCCTTTGGGTAGTGAAGGGCAGAGCCCTCTTTGTAGGCACACATGCCATCGCCCTAGCCAGGCCCAGACCATCATTAAAGTGTCGAATTCTCTGCCAAATAATTTTAAGTAAATGAAAGCATTTGGGATTGCTTTCCTTACTTTGTTTGGATCATCTTAGGTTAATGTATGAGTTGTTTTTAATAAAGTAAAACCTCAGTATTCAGGTTAAATTGCCGTGTTGGCACTTTGCGATAAATAAGTGGGTTTTGGGTCGCCGTTTGGGCACTCGGTCTCTAAAAGGTTCGCCATCACTGGCTTAGAGGGAGCCTTGTTTGGGGCTCTGGAGCTCCCGGCCTTTTGCCCTGCTGGCATCATTTAAAAACCTCTTTATTCCAGCGGGCCTGTGCCCTCAGCGGCCGGGCTTGGCTTGCCTTAGTCCTTTTACATGGCTGCTACTGTGTCCATGTCGGTGAGCCTCCGCGGTCCTTAAAGGCGGCGTTTATTTTTCGTGTTCTGCCTGTGATTTTTATAGCGGTTCTGATGTCCTCTTACCCTGTTTGTTTGTGCTCAGCCGTCGGCCGAACAAATGCTTTCCTCACTCAGTATTTTGTCTCTCTCTCCCTGTCTCCCCTCCCTTCTCTTCAGCTCCAAAATAGATTTTCAGATTCAAGCTGTGAACAACCACGGAAGGTCAGTGCCCCCCCCCTCCCCACCTAGAACCGAGGTTTAACACCAACAGGTTTCATCTCCCCTCAGCCCTGCATCTGTACGCCAGCTGAGCGTCTTGGGTCCTTCTTCCGACTCCCCTGGTCCCCGTTGGCTTCGAGTTCACCGTCCTGCAGCCAGATCCATGAATGCCGCGGTTTGCCAGCAGTACAAAAACGTCTGCTTCCATTCCAGCTAGCTCGCCTGGGCAGTTTCCAAGTCTGAAGATGGAATGTTCGTAGCTTGAGCTATTCAAGCAGTAGCTGTTGTAGATTTTTCCGGGCTGTGTGGCCGACGTGGTCTTGGCATTGTAGGACCTGCTGTTTCACCAGCAGCGGTGACTGGCACCCTCAGAGGTATGGCACAGAAAGATGGAGGACTCTCTGTGTCAAGGTGAGAAGCAAAATGGTACCATTTTGCTTCTCATTTCGCGACCATTTTGCTTCTCACCTTGACACAGAGAGTCCTCCGTCTTTCTGTGTCATACCTCTGAGCAGGGGTCATTTAGTAGAAAAAGAGGTGCAGGAGCTCATTAGCATAACTCATTTGCATATGCCACACCCCCTGACATCACCAGAAGTGTGTCAGAAGGCAACACCCACCGCTCAGGCTCCACTGGACTGTTTTGGATTGCTAGCTATTGGGGGGGGAGACGCAGATCTGTCCTCACAGAGGAGGGAGAGCTTGTACCTGAATAATAAAACTTGGTCTTAAAGGTGCCACTGGACTGTTTTGGATTGCTATCTATGGGGGGGGGCTCTGCAACTTACCTGACTGCTTCTTGTTCCTTGTGGCCCGGGGCTGCTGGGAGCAGGGGGCGGGGCTTGGTGCATGTGCCCGCCCCCTGGGATCTTTACTGCCGGAGCTCTGCTCCTGTGCGCTCCTGCAGGAAATGACCCCTGCCTCTGAGGATGCCAGTCACAGCTGCTGGCGAAACATCACACCCTACAATGCCAAGACCACGGCTATACAGCCCGGGAAATCTACAACAGCTAATAAACTCCGGCCGTGAAAGCCTTCGACAACATATATTCAAGCAGTGTTGTATTTATCTGGGGGTGTCCCCAGCTCCATTTGGAGCACTTGGGGTGTGTAGCACTGTTAGGGGAGGGGGTGAAATTCTGGTTTCTGTTGAAAACCTTGAACTCGGGCTTTTTGGGACAGGTGGCAGAGTGAATGGATAGCGGTTGGCAGAAGGGTTCAGCAAGTCACCCCCAGGAAAGGAGGCGAGGTTATGCTTCCATCTTTGAGCCAAGAGGGTGTCTTGGTGGAAGAGCCTCTGCTTGGCCTGCAGAAGGTCCCCGGTTCAATCCCCGGCATCTCCAATTCAAAGGACCAGGCAGGAGGTGACATGAAAAACCTCCGTCTGAGACCCTGGAGAGCTGTAAAGAGGGGCTGTGGTTCAGTGGCAGAGCCTCTGCTTGGCATGCAGAAGGTCCCAGGTCCAATCCCTGGCATCTCCAGTTAAAAGGAGCAGGCAGGAGGTAATTTGGAAGACCTTGACCTGAGACCCTGGCTCAGTGGAAGAGCCTCTGCTTGGCCCGCAGAAGGTCCCGGGTTCAGTCCTTGGCATCTCCACTTAAAAAGGACATGGCAGCAGTTGATGGGAAAGACCTCTGCCCGAGACCCTGGAGATCCGCTGCCAGTCTGAATAGACGGTCCTGACCTTGATGGAATGAGGGTCTGATTCAGTATAAAGGCAGCTTCATGGGTTCAGTGCTGCCTGCGTGTTCTTGGAAATGCCTCCTCAGCCGTGTCACATATGAAGCGGGCTCTCCGCTTCTGTCTATTCCAGTGGCCCTTTGAGCCACGAAAGTCCCCATCTCCACCCTGCTCCCAAAGAACACCTTCCATGTACGTGGAAAATCTGGTTCAAAGAGAGAAGTTCTCCATGCAAAAGCAGTCTGGTAGTTCTCCTAAAGGCTTCTCTTTCTGCACTGTGAATTTGCTGTGCGACATCCCAACCCCCCAACCCCCCGGGCAATGGGCCCTGTTTAAAAATGTTCATGGGGGAGGGATTGCGGGGGCTGCTTCAAAGAGCAGTGAATACCTCTAACCCCCCCTCCCCTTTCTCCCCTCTAGGATTATCCTACTGGATAACGAGGATAGCCCGTCCTTAATGAAAACTGTGAGTAGCGCTTCAAGCTTTTTCTACTGGGTTAGTCTGGAGTCTCCTGCGGCCGAGGCGAACAAGGGCTGTGGCTCAGTGGTAGAGCATCTGCTTGGCATGCAGAAGGTCCCGGGTTCAGTCCCTGGCATCTCCAGTTAAAAGGACCTGGCAGGAGGTGATGTGAAAGACCTCTGCCTGAGACCCTGGAGAGCTGTAAAGAGGGGCTGTGGCTCAGTGGTAGAGCATCTGCTTGGCATGCAGAAGGTCCCGGGTTCAGTCCCAGGCATTTTCAAGATGAAAGGGCCAGGCGGTAGATGAAGTGAAAAGGCCTCTGCCTGTGACCCTGGAGAGCGGCTGCCAGTCTGAGTAGACAATACTAACCTTGACGGACCGAGGGTCTGATTCCGTGTAAGGCCACTTCATGTGATTGTCAAAGGACTTCAACAAGAGGGGGTGTGGCTCAGTGGAAGGGCCTCTGCTTGGCATTCAGAAAGTCCCGGGTTCAATCCCCGGCATCTCCCGTTGAAAGAGCCAGATAGTGGGTGGGGTGGAAGACTTTGGCCTGAAACCCCGGAGAGCCACGGCCAGTCTGAATAGACAATACTGGCCTTGATGGACCGAGGGTCTGATTCACTAGAAGGCAGCTTCCTTATACTGTTTGGCCAGTTTTGGTGTAGTGGTTCAGTGCGCGAACTCTAATCTGGGAGAGCCGGGTTTGATTCCCCCACTCCTCCACTTGCAGCTGCTGGTGTGACCTTGAGTCAGTCACAAGTTCTTTCAGAGCTGTCCTCTCAAGAGCAGTCCTCAAAAGAGGTCTCTCGGCCCCACCTACCTCACAGGAGGGTGTCTGTTGTGGGGAGGGGAAGGGGAAAGGAGTTTGTAAGCCGCTCTGAGACTCCTTCGGATAGTGAAGGGCAGGGTATAAATCCAATCTCTCCTCCTTCTCCTTTTCCTCCCTCTTCTCCTCCTCCTTCTCCTCCTTCTCCTTCTTGTGTTCTGAGATGACCCCAATGGAACATATAATAGAAATGAGTTTGCAGGCTGCGATCTCTGCCCCCCCGCCACAATCCTCAGATGTTCTTTTCACACCCTACCTGACGATTCTGGTGTCTTCTGAGGGTGTGTGAAGAGTACCACAGGAATGGTGAAAACTCTCAAGTGAAGCAGCTCCAACTTTTTCAGGCTGGAGTAGGAATGATTTGCCGGAGACTGTTTGTGTGCCGCCTCTGTGGCAGGCATAACATACCCAGGGATTCGTAGCCCACTCACACATGGCAGCATTGTTGGCAGAATTCGTCCGTGTTCTCCACCCTGCACGCACACCAATTCTGCGTCCTCCTGAATTCAGAAACGTTGGGGGTAAAAATGGGAGATAAAGCCAGTGCCTTTGTTTCTCTCTCTGTGTGTCTCTTCTCTGTGTTTCTCTCTGTGAGAGCCAGTTTGGTGTAGTGGTTAAGTGCGCGGACTCTAATCTGGGAGAGCCGGGTTTGATTCCCCCACTCCTCCTCCACATGCAGCTGCTGATGTGACCTTGGGTCACTCACAAGCTCTGTCAGAGCTGTCCTTGAAAAAGAGCAGTTTGTGTCAGAGTTCTCTCAGCCCCACCCGCCTCACAGGGTGTCTGTTGTGGGGAGGGGGAGGGAAAGGAGTTTGTAAGCGGCTCTGAGACTCCAAGTGAAGGGCGGGGTATAAATCCAATCTCCTCTTCTTCTTCTAGGTGACCATGGTCATATATGACATTCCAGACTTACTCGGCGGAAGGGGCTGCCTCGGGTCGGTCATCTTCTCGGAGTCTTTCCTGGCCTCGCAGATCTTTGTAAAAGAAAAAGGTACTTGTAGGGCAGTGCGGCTCGGCAGGGTTATGACTGCATCGCAAACACAGTGAAGGGAAGCGGAGCTCTTTCTCAGGGCGCATGAGCCTCCTGCCGCGCACCAGAGAAGTCCCTCTGCTTCTGCTGCCATCGCACGCTTTTCTGAATCGAAACGAAGGTTCGTTTTTCTTGGCTCGGAAGCCAGCCGTGTCATCAACTCTGGGCGCTTTTGTCCTGTCTGTGGGAGTCCCCCACTCGTCTGAACAGTGGGTCCTGGCCCCACTGGTGGACCTCCTGATAGCACTGGTATTTCTGGCCACTGTGTGATACAGAGTGTTGGGCTGGATGGGCCTTTGGCCTGATCCAACGTCTCTTATGTTCTTAACATCATGGGGGTGGAGGGTCGGACACACTCCCAACTGTGCCTTGGGTGATCGCTGGGTCTTCTTTGGCCCAGATCCATGAACAACAAGGAGATGGCTGCGTTCCCTGTAGGGGGGCTGATCTCTCTCTAGCTCCATGTGAGCTGCTGGGATTTGTTACCTGGTGTCCTAACGCAAGAAGCACTCAGTCAGAATCCTGTGTGTCTCGGTGTCGTGGTTGGGAGCGCAGACTCTCATCTGGGAGAACCGGGTTTGATTCCCCACTCCTCCACCTGCAGCCAGCTGGTGTGACATTGGGTCAGACACAAGTTCTCTCAGAGCTGTTCTCTCAAGAGCAATTCTCAATCAGAGAATTCAGCGTAAGGCAGCTTCATCTGCATTCACGCGTTGAAGTGCTTAATTTCTAGGACACCTTCCCCTGTCCCGGGCTCCTACCGGCCTGCAAAAGAAGGTCTGGAGGTCAGTACAGGCTGCTGGATGTCTTCCAGACACGGGGTTGGATCCAAAGTCTGTTTTCCACGGACAGATGTTGCTTCCGCCAGTGGAGCGGAACTCTCCCGTGTCTTCCCCCTCCCTCCACAGCACACTGAGCTCCGGGAAACATGTGACCCTCCGGAAGAGCACGATGGGCAAACCGGAAGTCCACAGCGGCGGGCTGGGGGGGTGGGAGATTAGCAAAAATCGCCAACCCCTGGAGTTTCACAAAGAGGCTAACACCATGTTTTCCCTCGTGCAGATCAGCTCCAATGCTGGCCTTTTAAAGTTAGTGGCAAACAGGCTGCGTTGCCCTGATTCTCTTCTTGTAGGGAAGCGAAGAATACAGGGGTCATTTCGTAGAAAAAGAGGTGCAGGAGCTCATTAGCATAACTCATTAGCATAACTTATTTGCATATACCACACCCCCTGACCTCACCGGAAGTGTGTCAGAAGGCAACACCCTCCTGGACTGTTTTGGGTTGCTAGCTGGGGGGGGGGGGGGGGGGGGATCTGTCC